CCCCCCCCCCCCCCAAAAAAAAAATTCAAACCAATCCATCCGTTTACAACGCTTCAAGTCGCAGTATGATATTCATTTGGTTTTTTGATTCATTTTGAAAATTAGCCATGTTTTCTCATTGTTTCTTTACCTTAGTTTCATCTCGCTAGTAAAAATGCAAAAAGTAAATAAGTAAGAAATCAAAATTCCAGACTAATTCTAAACAAAATATATAAATAAAACTCAAATACATAGGAATTTTCACACTTAAGAAACTTCCAAAAACATGGGAAATCAGAAATAACAAACCTAGAGGTGTTCATAAGCTTAAATTTTAAAAATGAAATGATTATCGGGAGCAACAAACATTCAAATCCACCGCTGAGTGTTTATTACATCATCTCTCCTAAAGGGCGGTAGGTTCAAATCGTTCCCATCGTACTCGTGACGGTAAGAACACAACCAATCATCAATTCACGCCACCGAGTACATAAACAAGTAAAAATAAGGGTTACCGGAGATCATAGAAGCGGAATTACCGGGTTATGGGCGTGCTGCAAGAGATAAGGACTGTGTTCAACAGCAAGGAGATTGGTGTACTTGTGAGAGTGAGAACCGCCATCGGAGGACTGTGCAGCCATGGCGAGGACCTTGCAGGCGTGAAAGGGTGCACGGAAACGGAATGGAGAATGGGAAAGAAGGAAGGGAAAGCGCGGGAACGGAATTGGGGTTGAATTTGGAGAGAATTCAGAGGGATAGCGGCGGCGGAGGAAGCGGCGGAGGGGAAGTTTTCTGAGCATAGAGGAATGGGACTGAGGAGGAGGAGGAAATGGAAAGGAAGGAGAGGGGTGGGTTAAAGAGAGGGCGCCATGTGTGTGGAAGCGAAGGCCATGACGAGGCAAAGAAGCCATGAGCTGGTTGGATTCTGTTTTTGAGAGATGGGAGTGGGTCGTTCAATTCGATCCAATTTTACGTAAAGATAATTTTTTTTAAAATAATAGAATATAAATTCTAGCCTTTTATTATTAGTATTATTATTAGATAATTTTTAATTAAAAGATTATTTTAATTTCTTAATTCTGATTGGGGTGTGAATTCAACCCAACAAACAGGGCCAACCCAACCCGAACCTGTTGAGTTGGGTTGAGTTAGCATTTCGAGTAGGGTTGAATTCATTTTTCTGAACTCAAACTGAATCGATTCGGTCTCAGGGTTCATGGACCAAACCTTCGAGTTGACCCGAGCCAAATAAAAATATATAAAATATATTAAGAATTTTTTCTTATTAATGGGTTTGCTAAAGTAGTACTGAAACCCGTTCAGAGACACTCACGTCCGAGTTTGACGCCAGGCAAATACATGTTTCATTTTTATTATTTTTTTATTAATACTATTATCTATACCCAACCCGAACTCAACCCAAAAAGAGAGGGTTGGGTTGGGTTGTGAAATGTTTCAAGTTGGGTAAAACTTTTGACTCCAACTTACCCAACCCAAACCATGTACGATGTACACCTCTAATTTTTACCATTATTATTATTATTATTTATTTATTTATTTATTCTTTTTTTTTGTATACGCAATATTTTAATTGAAATGATTATTAGTATTTTATCACAAATTTAGCATCAAACTAACAATAGTAGTTAATAGTTAGTTTTAAATTTATGAAAAATACATGTAGTAAATTTTGGATAGTTAAAAATATTGGATTAAATTAGAATAATGCAAAAATGATATTTTACCCTTGACTCATTGTCGTACTAATAAATTTTGAACATAACAATAAGTTCTCTCACACCTGTGCTTGTTATGTAATATCAAAATAATAATAATAATAATAATAATACTTTTAACGTGATAAAATCATAGTCAAATAAATAAGCAACACAATGATTATCAAATTTATAGACCTATTAGACCCAATGAGACACGAGGTTAACAACTAAATTTGTAATTTAACTTAATTTTCAATCTTGGAGATTTGTATTTTTCATCCAATATTTCATTTGGACTCCACTTTGATAAAGCAATCGAAGATGCATTTCCCACATCTCAAGATGCTATCAAATGTGGTAAGGGCATGTCTTCTCTTTTAAGACTTTTTCGTTGATATTGAAAGTCCCACGTCGGCTAATTTAGAGAATGATCATAAGTTTATAATCAAATAATACTCTCTCCATTGGCACGAGGCCTTTTGAGGAAGCTCAAAGCAAAGCCATAAGAACTTGTGCTCAAAATGGATAATATCATATTCAGTTTAGTATCTAACACCTCTAACTTCAAGAAGCAACTTTCACCCTTTTCATAACATGATCAACCAAACTGGACCAAGTCAGTCAAAGATCAACAAAACTGCATGTGAGACTACAAGAATCCCCAAACCAACCAAAGCAATGGAAAATTCATCGAAACAATAGTTCGTAAACCATACAAGAAAGGAAAAATATGTAATTAATTTCGTAAAGTCGCATCAACATCATAATCTAGTTCTAGCGGGGATGGGATGGGTTAATTTCTTCTTTTTCTCCTTCTATTTTCAGACTACTGACGCCAAAAAACCCAACTCTAAATGGTATAATCTCAGTATGTGTATATCAATCATACATATAGCAGGCAGGCCCATGTGCAGAAAAATTATGAATAATGGTGAATGGTTTTTACCTAACCTCATAGCAGTTCATACGGTTCTCAAAGAAATACGTGTTATGAGGGCCCAAACTATTGGCAGGAAATGATGAAAATTCAAGTGGTTGGAGCCCCGGTAGATTGAACCAATTCTTCCATGAGTTCTTTTTGTTCCATGGCAACACATGCCTTGATTGAAAAAAAAATGGAGGATATGACTTTTTTGCTTTCAATGAGAGTTCAAAAGGTAAAAAGATGAGAGAGAATATTACCTGAACTGCGTTCTCTATATCACCATCAATAAAGGATGTGAGCTCGAAGTTCATTTTCAACCTGTGGTCAGTCACCCTGTTATCCTAATATGAGGAAAATCCAAAAGTTAGTGAATTCTATGGAAATTATCAGTCTGTTAGGATCAATTTCTATGAATTATGCTAAGATGTTTCATTTCCACCTTGAACTACACACTGGAAATGATAGTTTCACAAGTTCGATCGTTTCATTAGTGAGACGAGTATACATGGTTGTCGTGACAATTTGTGAGTTTGTTTGTGACATGATCGGTTTTTCAAACCCTTTTGGTTTGGTCCTTCCTTCGTCTTTTTTTAATTTTTTTATTCTTTTCCGTCCTTTTCTAATTTTTTTATATTCTTTTATATAACAATGAGGATCCAAACACGCTTGCTAGCACCTCAACTAATTTCATGGAACAACCGTCTAACCCTACTACATTTGGCTGTCAAGATACTTATCGAATATTAAGTCTAGGTGATCGTGACTGAACTTGTTCCCTATAGGTCCATTACTCTCTTGTCCACTAGGCCAACCAATAATAGTTGCTTTTATATAACGTTCATAACAAGTTAATACTTCATGCACTAATTTATCTTTTAGAACTATTTCTTGGTCTTCAACATCTTTGTGGTACCATATGGATAGCTTGCTTTATGACAGTAGCTGTATTTCTTTTTTCATCAGTTTCAAGCCAGAAATATAACCAATATCATACCTTGTAATTGTAAGTCCGTATTTTCTCAGCACGGGCACCTGTACCAACCTGCAACAGAACCTTTTAGAACGAGGGAATACACCAATGAAAACAATTTGATTGCCTAATAAAATTACATTGAGAAGTTATAATCAGGTATTCAATTTCGTTTAACAAATTCAAGTTGCAACAACCCCAAGCAGTGATTTGCATGAAGTTTCATCATTAAAAAATTGACAACCAATTTTGAAAATGTCTGTGAGGAGACAGAAAAGAGGACAACAAGAAAATAAGAACACTGAAATTGAAGAACAGCTTATACTCGATTGCTTTTATGAGAATATTCGGCTGGGGTCTGCTTGTACAATTGCCTTGCATTAATGTGACAACTACTTGCTTTCAGATTTAGAGTTACACACGTAGAATATTGTAAAATTGAGCAAAAACTAATGATTTGGCAACATTATGAAGTAGATTATTATCACAGCAGAAAGAAGAAAAAAATTGATAAAAGATTCCTAAAATATAATTATCGTGCTCTAAAACAGTCGTATTTGTGCACCTAAGACCTCTGGGTATGGGTTTGTGGAGTCCAAGAGATTTTTAGTTTTTGATATTCCATCCAAATAGTATTGCATAATGGACATTGCCGTTTCCAATAATGTTGCCAATGAAATTTTGTGCTTACTTAGAAATTACTCTAGACTAGGAAGTGCTTGAAAAAAATGGAGGGTAACAGCTCTTCGTTTCCTAGGCAAGTTTATCAAATATAGCGACTAACTGACTGTAATAACTTCAGAAACTATTGTCTGATTTTTTCTAATAAAGAACCAAACCTTCATTAAGAGAAAATGAAAAAGTACATGGACACTCAAAAAACCAAATGCACAAAAAGGTGTTCTTTGCTAAACATGGATAAATGATAACGAGAAAAGAAAGAAAGAGAAAACTAATATTTACCTGTAATTTTCGTTGATTCCTGATCCTCTCCTGCTGTTCCCTCACTTTGATCTCATAACTGAAAAGGAAAAGAAGGGGGAAGGGGAAGGGGGATTAAATTCATGAATTTACACGATGTTGAAACCAGCAAAATTATCACCCTGTCCACTATGAAAGGCAAGTCAATATATATTAGAAAAACATCATTTTCTTTTTGAAAAATTAATGCCAAGAGATTGAATAGGAGGGTTAAGAAACCAATGACTAGGGGCGAAAGTCAGTGGAGATCAGAGTAGAGGTACCCTTGAGCTGATTGTCAGTTGGGGCAGGGCATAAGAAACTAACTTTTCTGCTTTCTTTGGACGAAAGAACTGACCAACCGACCAGGTTGGATTGGAGGGGGTTGGCAAATAGGAAGCGAGAGGCTAAGCCAGAACATACAAGGGCAAGCATGGACAAAGGTTGGGGAAGGGGCTGGCCCGGGTTGGGTGTGAACAATGGGTGGTGGAGGCTGTGCGTGAGAGAGAAAAAGAAAATTAAGATTTCTTTGATGCCTCAGTTGATCACAAGGGTTGTGCAGAACTGAATGAACAACTGTTCAATCTCGGTTATTTTATTTTATTTTTATTGCCCCATACCAATGACCAGCCAAATTCCTTCGGAATATTGCAATGACAATAAAGTTTCTTCAATTATTTGAGAAAACCCTAGAAATGGTCATGAAGTTCATTTAATTATTTGTTTCGGCAAAAAATATAGGAATTATATGAATAAAGTGCATATAATTTATATGATAAAATGGCAAATGTTTATGGTGTAATGGATGCTCACAGTTTGGCTCGCAGCAATTGAAAAGCTCGATGCTTGTTCTGAAGTTGAGTCCTTTCTTCAGTGCAAAAAATGCGAATTCCTGTTGGCTTGTGGAAAAGATCAATTGCTGTCTCCACCTTGTTCACATTCTGCCCTGCATAACCATTGGAAAAAAAAAAGGTTAATTCTACCATTTCTTGGTTTATGAGAACAGATACAGAGAGCTAGCCAAAGTAATATTTGAATCAATTAAGTAAATTTATACCTCCTGCACCCCCAGATCTTGTAGTTGTTAGTTCAATGTCTTTTGGATCAATCACAACCTCAACTTCATCTGCCTAGATGCAAGAATGAAACAAGCTCAACCAATCAAGAGAAAGTATATAGCTGATCAAGATGTGAATGCATAGTCAAGTCAAGAGAAGTTATCATATCTAAATCATAACTACTCCTACAAAGAAACAGTATGGACACTATCAACATCAACTAAATAAATATGAAGGATAGGTCTACAGTTATCTGCTCAGGTCTTCATGTTAAGGCACTGGTGAGATATGT